ATTGCAATTCATACTATCCTAGAGGCCATCCATCTGAGTAAGTTGACACACTCTGCTTCTGCTTCCTCTGTCATTTTGATATATTTGCTATATCAAAAATATTTCGCCAATGAGTCTATTTACTGCATTTCCTCCCCATCATGAGCCTTTTATCTACATTTGCAAATTCTCATTTTTCGAAGACTTGTACAAAATTCCCCATTCTCAATGTAAGAGATGGACTCTGAATGATTGTATGAGATCAGCTTGGACCTATCTCAGCAGACTCAGATCTGTTGATAGTTTGTCGGTAGGATGCCCTAGTACTGTATATACAATCAATCTTTTCACCTTCATCAGGTTAGGCAAGCCCTTGACTGCTTCTGCACTATTAGTACGGAGTACGGAGTAGAGGTTGCAGAATGGCTAGCAAATGGCTAGAATTCATGGTTAAAAGATCAACAAAAGTTCTCATAAGAGATCTCAGAAAGTTTTCTCTCAATCTTCTTCATATGTATCAAATCAGCTCTATTCTCAACTTCAATTACAGTTAAAGCAATCATTCACACTATCAAACATCTGAGGAGGCCGACTCTTCCTCTGTACGGGACCTCGGCAGTGGAAATAAGTCACATGACACAAAACCCAGTTAATTAGTTAAGTTACCCGTTTCGGACTGGTGCCAGCTGACAGCTCCGACGCGGCGATATTTGAAAGCGACATCGAGGCATGATGATGATATCTTAACAGTGCAAAAAAATGATGTCTGGCATGAGACCAATTCGACTGGGATATATCCTATCCTATTCTCCTTCTGATGAAGCTGGATGATGTTGAGTGTACCAAAAAGTATTATTGGCTGTTTTGCTTATTTGAAATCTCTTTTTGTTTGACGCCTTAGATTTCTTTTCAAGTTGCAGATCCTATTAAATGCTCTCGAGCTGCTGGCAGAGTTGGCAGCGTTGCCAGCCAAGAAGAGTGAAGGGACCATGGTCAAGTTCGCCCTAGCTATATCGCTTCTAGCATCTTGGCCGTTGCGAGCTTTTGCTGGCAATGACCTAGGCGAAGCCAAAACACGGAAGCTTCATGGCCGTTTTTTACATATCACTGGTGGGTTATCGCCAGTGTTCCGCGCACGTAACACGTGGATATAAAGATAGATACTGACGCTGGTCATGAAGATATACACGCCGATACGAACTACAAACCGAATTCCAATACCGATGGGGATCATGAATGTCATCGAGGATCTGGAAATGCAGGCTTTTACGGAACCGTCGGCTCCAACTGCGACTCCCCTCTTACACTGGTAAACGCGACATTTGCATGGATTCAAGAAAACCTCGCACACTCGATCGACTTCGTTGTTTGGACGGGCGATTCGGCACGTCATGACAATGATGAAAAAATTCCTCGCACGGAGCAAGAGATTCTTCATATGAACCAGTTGCTGGCCGACAAGTTTCATGATATCTTTTCTAAATCGGACGAACACAAAAAGGGAATGCGAATTCCGGTCGTCCCTACAATCGGAAATAATGATATAATGCCCCATAATATCTTGAAGAAGGGTCCTAACCACTGGACTAAGAGGTTTGCTCGCATCTGGGACAACTTTATTCCTGAGGAACAGCGCCATTCATTCGTTCAAGGTGGTTGGTTTTATGTGGAGGTTATTCCTCACAAATTGGCTGTTATTAGCCTTAATACGATGTATTTCTATGGCTCAAACAGCGCTGTTGACGGATGCGCGCATAGAGACGACCCCGGGTATGAGCACATGGAGTGGCTGAGAGTCCAGCTCCAGTTTATGAGGAAACGGAATATGAAGGCAATTCTAATTGGACACGTGCCCCCAGCTAGAACAAGCTCCAAGGAGAATTGGGACGCAACATGCTGGCAGAAGTATACGCTCTGGCTACAGCAATACCGCGATGTAATCGTTGCCAGCATGTTTGGACACATGAATATTGATCATTTTATGTTCCAGGATAGCAACGATCTTAAGATCGGTGATAAAGGAACGGAATCTCAACCCACGCGGGTAAGGCGGCGCAACCGGGATGATCAGGTGGTGTCCGTACAAGCGCGGATGAATTATTTAACGAATCTGAGGCATGCTTGGTCACAATTACCGTCTCCGCCTAGTGCATCATCTTCCGTGCATTTCGATGATAAAAGTCAGCTTAACGACGAATTTGGTTTTGGCTCAGCTTTGGATGTGAACACCAGGGGCAAAAAGAAGGAAATGAGAAAATATTTAGAGGAGATTGGTGGACCTTGGGCGGAAAGATACAGCGTATCTCTGGTATCACCCAGCATCATTCCGAACTACTATCCGACTTTGCGCGTCATCGAGTACAATATATCCGGGTTAGAAAACGCCGTGCTCTGGTCGGAAATAACTGCACATAAAGGAAAACCGCCACAGCAAACATTACCGCTCTTTAATGACCCTGATGTTGGTGCTCAGGATCCGTCCCGGGGAGATGAAAAGAAGGGTAAGAAAAAGAAGAAGAAGCCGAAGAAGCCAAAGTTTGAAGTTCCCGAACCCCCATCTCCCACAGCACCACCAGGGCCAGCGTATTCGAACCAGCCGTTCACACTTCTTTCATATACGCAGTACTTTTTCAATTTAACGGAGCTCGAGAATGTCGAAACTATAATGTCGATAACTGATCGACTCCACGATCAGAAACACCTCAGCTGGCGAGAGTACCGTTCGAGAAAATCTGGCGACGCCCACAAGCCAAACAACATCTCCTTCGAAGTGTTTTATGATACCAAAACGGATAGGGCATATAACCTGAAGGATTTGACGGTTAATAGCTACCTGGATCTGGCGAGAGGGATTGCGGAGAAGGAGAGATCGAGCGGGAAGGGAACGAAAGCAGATGTGCTTCTTAATGATAATATTGTTGGTTGTCCGGATGGGGAGGCTGAGATACCACCAACAGGCGAAGGAAAAGGAGATGAATGGCCCGTAAACGAAAATGAAGACCCGTCGTTGGATTCCCGATGCACCCGGTTGGAACCATCGCTGCTAGTGACGAAGTCTCGTGAGAGTCTTTGGTCTGTGTTCGTGCGGCGAGCATTCGTTGGGTTTGTCAATGGTAACACGTGAACAAGCTTTACGCAACAGTATCGTTCTGGCATAATTCCCGAGATTCTTCATTTTCCCTTCTGTCTTCCGGCTATATCTTTGTGGCGTAGGCATGTCTTTTTCTTTTTGTATAATCAATCCTTGGATGTCCGTTACATATACATTTTGAAAATTCCTTTGAAGGCTGCAGTTTATTTTGGTTTTATGTCCCGTTTCTTCATAATTTGAGCGACTTTTTCTTTTCTCGCAATTTCTTTATGTATATATCTCGACGTTCGATCTATGTTTACGATGATATTTCTACTTCTCATTTGCATTCCTTGGAAACTTAATCCGGATATATTTTCTTGCATTAATTATAATCTAGAGACATTCACTAAATACAATACACACATGTAGCAGCTAGACTTTTAATCAACTCACTACTCATTATATATTGTCAACAAGTACTGTTGACAGAGACATGCAATATAGATTGACTGAGGGAAAATTACAGATAACTGGTGAAAGGTTAGAAGTGTCTCTTCTTTTCTTTTCATCTCCCTCATTCTCTTTTGTTTGTCTCCTTTCCCTTTCCTTTTCCTGGTACAAAGAATGCTATACATTTCGCAGATGCCTAAGCTTGACTTTCCTCACCCATGCGAGCTTTGAAGTACGTACCCCTTCGGCTAGATGCTTATCCACAAATCAGCTATCTATCATGCAAAAATCCTTGAAGGATCTAGATGACGATGTTTGACTTTCAGAGCTTGCCTTCTTTCGCGCAGCTCTCCTTGCCGGAAGTTTGGACTTTTCAATGTATGACGCCGAGCTGTTTCGGGCCCTGAGAGCAGCTTTCCGAGAAAAATTAGTTCAGGATAGTGAAGTGGAGTGTGTCACACACTCCGATCTCATCATTTCACCGAATATGCCCTGGGAAAAGACCAAGGGCAAGCAGGTAAATGTTATATCATTGATGCAATGGGCCATTCCTAGTAGTGTTCACATCATGACACATTACCTGCATGTTTCCAGTTGAATTGCAAAGGACAACTGCTTTGGCCTCTGTAACTACCACCTAGGCGTCCATTGATTGGTTCTGACAATGAGATGGATTGCTAAGGCTACATACATATTTACTGCTCTGGGTTCCTAAGATGGACCTTGAGGTGAAGCCTGACCATAATCCACCCCAGACACCCGTGAATGCATATTCTTCAAAGTAGATAGGGCTCTTATAATGCACCTTTTATGATCCCTATGGAAAGTCACTAGGGATAAATCAGTCTCAACTTCAATAGTGAAAGGCAACTCTGCTGGCCTGGAATTGGATATAAGTACTCCCATCTCCCATCTCCCAACGCTCCTCTCCTCCTTTTTTTCCCCCGCGGCATTCCTCCTATCTGGAGTCGCGAGATGCCCACTTGCCAAGTTTGTGTATACATTGATATATACATATATATATATATATAGCAGATGCCCATGCATATGCGGAAGCAGATGCGGCATACGCTTCTACTCTTTTGCCACGTTCATAACCATATGCAAGTCTACTATCCAATATATCCATCCAACTCGATACATGATCTCGATCTTCCAAATACTGTCCGTTTCGAGGATCGGGATAGTTTCAATCATAAATCTAAGAAAAAGACTGTTTCGCGGCGCTGTTAACCCACTCAACATCAGGGTCAAACCAGAGATCAAGATCGAAGAAGTCAGTGACAATGACAGTGCTTGCCCTTGTCAAGACTGAACTGGTGGAATACTTCTTCCCCTGAACCATATGATGGCACTTGTCTAACGGACAGTCTGGCTGGTATGTTCTATGGTGCTTCCATTCCCCCTTTCACTATTTTTCCCTACATATCAATTAATGCAGAACCTTATACCTAACACGCTGCTTTCAGGGACAGTCTCTATACACCATCGTTACCTATATCTATATGTTCCTATTTATTCTCTCTTCATCTTATATATATTTATGATCGGTATCCCGGTCGCGAACTTTCGCCTTTATCCCTCATCTCCCTGCAAAAACTTCCCGCCTAGAGCCCCCCCCTGCAGTGGCTGCCTCGGTGGCAGGGTGGGGGCGAATGCCCTCTGGTCCCGCCATCAGTCTTCCACTGCCCCGACGGGCTGCAGGAAATTATGGGTATGGCTTTGCGTGTGGGTATGGCCGCGGGCCGGCCTAAGGAGGGAGGGAAGCGGCGTGATTGTGCTCGGGGGCTGGGGATCTCGAAGGCTAAGTAGGAGCGGGAGGAGAGATTATGGCCGGAGCAAGATTCACCTTCCTCGACAACGTGATGACTTATGGACACGGGTTTTACCGGATGGAACAAAAAATGGCCACCTCATCGCATCCGGTCTGCTCTATTTATACCTGTTCGCTCCTCGTTGGTGGTGACCAACCTATATCGCATCAAATTGATATATCAGGTTCCATTGCTACCTTCATCACACGACAGTTATAAACTATTTCCAACCCAGCCAAAGGGAGCTGAACGCGTCAAATTCCGAGAGGATTTTGGCTCCCTGGAATGCTCTAGGATTGTTTTATGGTTCATATATTTGCCTTGCCTTTTTTCCTGGTATATATATATATATACCGAATGGGAACTTTCTTCTTCATGACATGGAATTGCAGGTGAGATTTTCCCTCTGCCCCCTTTTCTTCATGATATAGGTTGATAGCTAATGGGGGAAAAGTAAATGAAAGAAAAATGTCCGTCTATAAAGAACTTCAACCGTACGGTTCCAATCCGACGTGGAGCTGTGATGGGGGTGCTTCCAAGTAGCGGGCTACTTGAAGAATTAGGACCCTCGCCAACGACGTTGCAATCTTCTAATATATCAAAAATTTACAGCGTTTTGACAGTCTTAGACGGTGGCGGGAGAAGAGGCCAGCTCAAAAGGTAATCACAGACACCGCATCAGGTCCTGCCTGGGACGAGTAGTTGTCGATTTCTGTCTCCGCCGACTTCCCGGCTTTCTGTGCTGCGAGTAAAAGCAGAATCGACCCATACGCTGATAAGGTTCCGAGATCTGCAGCTCCTGTGTTGAGAGTAGAAATGTTCGGTCTAGTCCAGCAGGCCAGGACAATTTTGTGTGTCGGATGTGGACGGCTCAAGTCTCTTCGGTGTCTGAAGCTTGCATTACGCATGGGTTCCTTTGGGAGTGATCTCTCCTGAAATGGAACGACTGCCTGCTCTCCCCTGCTATGTTGCTTATTTCCCTCTATAGAACTTGATATTGGGACCGTTAGATATATATATCCAATGGATATGCTTCTAAATGATACCTATAAAACTTTTATGCTCCACCGCTATTCCCGTCTTTAATTCCGCTGCGTTGCTCTAAGCATATTATAATCATGTCAGGTGTCTAGTAACCGGACGAACCAAACTTACCACACCTGAATGACGAGGATGGGCAGAGAGCACCATGTGTTACAATATGGGAACATAGTAACGCAGCTGTCATGGGTTGGGGGGAGATTTTCGTGTTTTTTTTTGGCATTATTTACCATCTCATTGCGCAGAATACAATGCCAAACCTGGGCAGAATATCCAGTTCACCGACATGTTCAGTTAGGATTGCTTGCGGCCAGAGAGGTTCCTATTACCTAGTTAGAATAGATAGATTCATCCATCATGTACGTATGGAGTAGTATATTTCTGTAGTACGAATGGTCATTGAGAAGATTTTAGAGTTTTATCATGTCGTAGATACCTCTCTATCCTTTCATTGAATAGAACCTGCACAATTGGTTGGAGAAGGTAATGCGCCATTGTGCTAAGGCAAAGAGAGAACTGAAAAGGTTGGAGTGGAGGAGAATGCCCCGCCCTCATACCTTTAGGTTGTAATGAGCGTGGGCCATCGCTTTGATCGGGGTGGCTAAGGGCCGTCTCTGTTATTGATACTTAAATGGGATGTCTCCACACTTGAAAGGAAATATTGCTGAATGAGGGTAACATGTTTCTCTCCGCGCCCTACTAACCCCAGCCGCCAAATCCGTAAAGGGCATTCAGTGTCCGCGGTCACCTTTCAGGTTTTCTGGAAGAAAAAGTCATTTTGCTCGCGTAAACTGCCCCGCTGCATCCATTTTTATTTTCTAAATGTGAGCCAGAGAAAGAAGGTACGGGCATGGTAGCCCGCTGCTTTGTTGTTGAAAGGCCCATCCTGGTAAAGGCGGAAAGAAAGAAAGGACAATGGCCAATGTCATCTACCTAGACGAACAAAGCGGGCTTCTCATCTCTTACGGCGACGAATCTGGGAAGCGTGCCCATTGAAAATGACGGCACTTCATTGTAGAAACAAGTAAAATGGAGTCGCTTGGGTTTTGATCAGATATCCCTTTATGCTGCTCTCTTGTCAAAGCGAGCACGCTGGTATATTCATATCTCGTCGCGATATGAAGGGGCATTGTTCGAGAACTAAAGAGAATGGACGGACCTCCTGGTGCAGTTGTCATAGGCCACGAGAGGGTTTGTGAATATATATAGGCTTGATGCCACTCGAGTAACTCGCTATTGCTCTTAGAGTCAAAGTATCGACCAGATTGATCAATCGTTATCGAAAATCAGTGCTGAAACCAACGTCAAAAGCCAACATTCAATTTTTCTAGCTTAGCTGAACACGCAGCTTCCGGTACGTTCGAATACCCCTTAAATAACACCATAACTCGAAATAGGCCGGTTTTTCTAAGTAGCTAGGCTTCTCTGTATAGGGATTTAGTTCCATATTAGCTCGATAACATCTGCTGACATGGCAAGCAGTAATGACCAACTTGTGAGTATCGATGGATTACTTGACTTTGCTTATTATGATAACTATTTGCTGAGATTGGCTATGTACAGGAGACTGGTGAGGCGTCGGGCGGTACCAATCGTTCAGGTACGTAAAAATTGTTTCACACAAATCTGACCTTAGGTTACTACTGGAGGACGTCAAGGCTAATAATCCCCCCGGGTGAATAGGTCCTAGAGGTGCGAGGTGGACCGAGGAAGAAGAGATGTGGCTGATTGTCAATACCATTGAGCAAAATAGCAACGAATGGCTGGCCCAAAACATACCGGGGAGCAATGGGCGTACTGCGAACTCCATCGCAAGCCATCTGGCCGAGCTTCGCATAAGGAACAAGCTTCCTCGAGCGTGGAGATCGGGGATTATAGATGGGACACCAGACTGGACACTCGCAGAGGACCTGGAAATCATAGAGTGGATCCTCCATGACGAACGAAGAATTGACGCGCAGGTGTTCGTTGCGACTAATCGTTCTGGAGAGGCAATTCAACGCCGGGGAAGATTCCTCATGGCGGACGATGAGTTCGCGGCTATTGTCTATGACACAGAAGATCGTCTTCGGTTGGTGCAGCTCCGGTATGACATGACTCCCGAAGGGCCGGAAAAGGAGGCAGCCTACGCAGCTCTCGTACAAGCTGAAAATGACGCTGAACGGATTATCCGTGACGCATTGCGGGAGACGCGTGGTTGCGTATATCAGTCATCCATTTGGTAGGAAACCTAACAACCATGACGAGGGAAAGAGAACGAGATAGACGATGGGAATGGATTAGGAGCAATCTGGCTTGCACAATGTCTTGGATTGGGCGTATGATTCGGGTGCCAGCACCTTTTCTTTCTGGGATTAAATTGTTCTGAGTTTTTGGGGCTTCGCATTTAAAGCTACTATTCAGGGACGTATGATGGAGGTGTTTAGTTTGTCTGCTAGGCTGAAGTGAAAAGAAAAGAATAGAAAAGGTGAACAATCAAGTTGGTCATATTACTTGCCTCAGCTGTGATATCATCCTTAAGTGTAGGACTTGTGGGTTGCGTGTTTGTAAATTTGTCGTTGTTGTGGAGATTATATATCAATGAGGCACCTAGTGCTTAGGGAGAACAGAATGTTGGACAGGTCAGATCTCCCTTCAACATAAGTTCCTTGAATGGCCGGATAAATGGCTATCCATATTGTGGTCATGAAACGGAGATAATGAAGCCAGAGAAGATTGGCCAAATTGTACATGTTTGGACACCCGCCCTCTCTAAATTGGCAAAGAGCGCTGTGTCACAAGATCCTCAGTAAATAACATCTGAATTGGATGCTCATGGCAGTATTTTGTAGGAAGGCTCTGTGCAGAGTAGCGAAATATTGAATGAAAAGACCTCGACTCGGCGATGATATTTCATCATTATGTTTTTGAGCCATGTGTGAATCTCAGTATAACATCCGCAGAGGGTACAACGCCGAGATCGTCAAAAATCTGGAGGAAAGAATCACTTCGACCAAGATAGTTGCTCTGCGGAATACTCAAAAATCACCCCTAAAACATTTAGGGAAGTGACCATGGCCATGTTTGAGGCTCGGTGCGAGACTGGCGAAGGAAAGTTCTCAACATTGATAATGTTACTTAGCCCAAACTATCTTTGACTGAACTGTACTCCGTATGGTGCTATCGATGATGGCATGGACGTCTCCTTTGGGTGTTTTCACGTCTGGGCTTCTAGGCGTTTTTGAATGCTCAGCCATTCTGATTTTTCATACCAATCAGTGTTTCGAACCGTAGCCTCCAAGAAGGCTGCTAATAGGTGATTGGCGAGAGGATGTACGGAGTAATGTACGGAGTAATCCTATCAGTTTGGGATTGGTCGGTTTTTGTGTGAACAAGAAAGGGAAAAATAAAGCCAATGCCCATGCCATTGGGCTTCAGGATTGATTATATTGTTGAGGGCAGCTAACTGGGCATACAGAATCTTTGGTGGTGGTTTCACCGCCTTTTCAGAGGTGCGCCACCCTCAAAAGTTCTAACTTTTTCGATCAAAGGCCTGCGAACACCATTCTTCATGCCATTCCAGTTGCTCAAACAGTTGAGTAAGCTGGCTATAGGGAGTTTGGATAGAATTAGCACGAATTCCGCCTATAACGTGGTCTAGATTTGAGAGGGAATAAAGAGCTGAAGGAGGAACGAGGTATTAAGAAATGCTAGCTGGATTCTGCCGTTGAAAGAATATGTGGCTGTAGCAAGTCGCGAGCTGTTGGAGATAGCCTGTTGGTTGCGTTGGCATCAGTCACGGGTTGTGGCTGGACTCAAGGTTGTTCCGGACTTGCATATGTTCGGCCTCATTCTTCCCAAACCAAGATGATTTGCTGTGACTAGTGCCGGTTAACCTGGGTATGCAGCGAGGTTGGTTCTTAACTCTATGGATAAATATCCTTATTCGGATATGCGAATATTGAGGCAGGTCCTAGAGTGCCACATGCCGAAGATATAGATAACTTTCAAATCTGCGTCCGGCTGGTGTGTCGCAGGAACTTCAATATGCGCGCTTCGTCCCTCATAGGTTTCTTGCAAGTGCCACGCTGGCAATGCGCACGACAGGGTATCCACGCTCTCGAGCCGCTTTTGAATGAGAAAGGAGTGATTGATTATTTTAATCATCTCGCACTTAGAAATAAGCGTCCGATTTGGACGGAATTATCGTATCCTGATGTTGACTTTACGCAGCGTATGTTCCGGGTGGTTATGTAGAGGGCGTTTTCTTCCTGGGCAAACCGAATCTGTGGTAACTACGAGCTAGAAGGTAACTTAACTATTTGACAGCGCACTAACCTTCATCTCATGCCCCAAAGTCTGGGCAGGTTATTCATTCCCCAGTCCGCTGATTTTTCTTCCTGGATGGGATGGGACGTCCTCATATTTTCCAACGTCATTTTCGAGAAGAATCCTGACGCCTTGACAAGGCTCCTCATCCACTAGGATTTTCGTGGAGATTGCCATGATTTTCCCCGTTTTCTCGGCCAGCGCTTGAACCTTGTTTAGGGCAAGGTCTTACCAAGCCAAAGCCGGCCAGGATTAAGAGGGTCCTTGGATCAAAATGAAATGCTCTGGCATTGACACGTAACTTGCGACGGCTCTAGTTCGCTTTGGCGTGCATGCTACCTGCAGGACCAGCTCAACAGTCGTGCCAGAGTTGTTCCTTCGCCGGCATATCAGATGCGGCGAGGCTGTACGCTGTACGCAGTACGGCTTGTCCGTTGTGTCGCAGTTTGCATACTACTGCGTAAATTGCCACTGCTGTCAACTTGTTCGTTGCCATCGTTCTTCGGGGAGATCCTTCGCCCAGCGGGCGCACGATTCAAAAAAAAAAAAAAAAAAAAAAAAAAAAAAGGTTGTGCCCATAACTCCGCACCGCATCGTTAATTTTTAACGAGGAAAGCTTGGATGGAGGCACGAGAGCGGAGAGGAATGCAATTAGAGAAACAAAATAAAAACAAAAAAAATAAAAATACCAGACAGTGCGAGCAGACTGCTTCGGCGGTGGTTGATAACAAAAAGCTCCTCTCTTCCCTTTAACTAAATATCCTTTATCGTTGTAGCTCGCCGCTAGATCGGGGCTAGTGCCGTCGTCGCCTTGCTGCTGCTTCGACCTCATCATCCGCCTTTCTGCGGCGTCGACACTGACGACGACGACGACGACGACCAACGACACCAGACTGACCGATTGACGGACACTCGCTCAGCGGCCATTGGGGGCTGTCTTCGTGCCCATTTTTCTCCTCCTGTTTTGTCTTTTTCAATCGCCATGTTTTCTTGTTTCATCTTGTTCTGATCCGCTAGTTTTTGTAAGTCCTTTCAACCCCTCATTTATATCACTGGCATTCTGCGTTGGCAACAACATCCTGTCTATCTACGCCCTCTTGCGCCCAATTGCAAAACAATGAATCACGAATTTTTTCTGCTGTACAAGTCACGACCCCCTGTTTTGCATTGCCGCCCCCTACGGGCAACTTTTTGGCCATCAATCGTACTAGTGGTTGAGCTTCTGAACCCTTCTGACGAATCGGCGGTTTGTAGCCAGTTTGCAGAACGAACTACATCGAAGAGGTATGTCATTGGGTTGTCATATCTCGCTGTTCAGAGTAACAGCCATACATATATAATAGCTATAGCTATGGAAGCTGACAGGTTGTCCAGAGCTCCAGCCGTCCCTTTTCTTTTTTCTTTCTTTTTTTTTTTTTTTGTTCCGGCTTCTGCACTCGGATTTCTCCTTCCCTTGTACTGTAAACAAGCCAACCAACCTCACACGATCCTTTCATATACCTCACGGCCGACACAGATATTTTAACACGTCTTGATATCAGCTGTACCATAAATACGTTTTTATATAAAAAACACACATTCCTTCTGGCCACCAGTCCCAACGGCAGTTTCAAAAGTCAACGAAATTTACGGTTTCCTACGATCAACTTTTAACGACATTCACTCATTCTGTCAAGACCTTCAGATTACGCATTGTACGACTAATATTTTTAGCCATCTACCTGTTCCTGCGGCCCTTTCCGATCAAAATAAAGGGAAAAACACTTATTAGAGCCGAACTCTCGTCCTCAATTTGGGTTGTTAGATGATCACAACGGACCTTTCAATCCTAAGCGCTCTCTCCTTTCAACATTTCTTGGAACCAACAAAACAATATTTTGGGGTATTGAGACATTACCTAGGTATATTCAAACTTAAGCACTGGTGTTGAACCAATAACCGCAGAGTCAGGTAAGCGCGCCCGCTTTATTTTGTGCACGTCGTGTTTCAAACATCTCCCCCGTTTGCCGCCGAGCTATTTTAAGGTCAAGGTCTCCAACTTACCTTTACCATAATGGTTTATTAAAATTTTCTCTAATTGGGTCTGCAATGTTTCATTGTGCTACTTAATACTGCTGATTGCCTTTTTGTTTGACCTGTTTTTGAATTCTTTTTCCAGCATCGTCGTTTCCCTTTCCCCGTCGTTCCTAGCATGAATCAAGGAATCATGAACCATATCCCAATTGAAAATGGGTTAGATTTACCTGAAGACTCCGAAATTACAGAAGAACTGATCGCCCTTTCACATCAGTGGGATCACTCAGACAATACTCCTCGTTTCGCTATATGGATGGCCTCCTCTGAAGTTGACCAAAAGTTTTTGGGCTTCTTCGCGGCCAGCACCGCCCGTGAAAATGCCTACCTTTCTGGAATGCTATACAAGCTCCTTGGCCTTTCCGTAGTCCTTTCCAAAAAGCTCCTTCGCGCTCGCAAGCTCCGACGACTTGACCCTACAAGAGAAACCAAATCGTTACAACTCTACCACCACATACTGTGGTTATCACGCGAGGGATTAGTGATCACAGAGCAATATGTTCTCCCCATGGCCGAGGCATATGTCGAGCTAAAAGTACTAGCCCACAAACTCAGAGCATCTTTTTACCACATTTTCGTCCTTTTCCATAATCAGCCAAGCATCCATCTATCGGGTATTCGAAGTCTCCCTCCTTCTGGCTCGCAACTGCATCTCCCAAATGGAGGCTCTGGTATGGAGAATGGTAATGGGGTTAAAAGAGGTTCAAAACTATCCCCAAACGCGAATCGAGATTCCATCGCCGCCTCCCCACCCCCCATCATACCGGAAGGAGGCCCCGTTGGGGGTACACACCTGCATCCACCAGGCCTGCCAGCCGTTAGACCGACGAAGATTGCAGCTTCCTTCATCCTCCCGGCTCTGGATTATACCCCAATGGCCACGGCGTGCTTCAGTGACGTAGCACAACTTGCAGACAACCTCCTCCCAGGCTCTCACCCAGTTAGACTTTCAGTCAAGCTTGAATATGCAGCATATCTATATGACTGCCTTCACGACTCTGACGGATGTAGACGCCTAGCTAAACAAGCAATTGCGGACGTTTACAATGCGCAGGAAGGCATGGATGATGAGAGCTTTGAAGACGCCGCCGAGCTGGTGGGAATCTTAGGCAAAATGGTCAAACGAGGAGGTAAAACTAGTAGTGCAGGAGGCAGTAGCACACCGGGCGGCGGAAGCACTCCAGGTACCCAGCAAGACAGCAGTGGGGCTGCTCGACAACGGCACCACTACCAACAACAATACCAACCGCGGACTCCGACCACACGCGGAACCCCCACTAAAGTGCTTACCTCGAATGCACATGCTCCCGCAATTCCCACTCCTACTATGACGAATCCGATCTAATAGTCAATATGCCAATATTTTCTTGGTCTTTCCTTTTCTTTTGTTCCTGAGCTATAGAAGGTTATAATAACTTAATTCACCTTATACATATTTTTGGAACTATACCTACACTGTCGCCAGAACCCCATCCCAGACCGATGATGCTGTACATATTTTCACCTACCCTCTTGGAATACACAAAAACTTATTTCCATACCCCAGCGGAAAAGCATTTTGGTTTTTTGGCAGCCATCATCTGATATCCTCCCTTAAAGCGGCCCCTTTCCCTTTCCCTAGGTTCTATCTCCGGTAATATTCCCCGCAGGAACCGTGTTTTACGACAAAAATTTTGTGGGATATACGGTACATGCAAAAATGGATTCACTTTGTTCCTCAAGTCCGCATTTGGAAAAAAAATCCCCAGCTGGGAAGGCCGGTGTACAGGCCGGCGATGAAAATCTTGGAAAGCGCTGCAGCAACTCCATTACCATATGTGTCTTTTGTCTTACGTTTTTGTGGTCTTTCGTATACAAACTCATAACTTCCTCCCAAACTTGCATTGCTCTTGATTCCCACGCCAGGATGTGAGAGTTCTGTTATGTGCAAAAGGGCCATTTATATTCCGTATTTGGATTTTTTTTTTTTTTTTATTCACTCTCAAGGAATAATTCTCATCAAAAATTTCATCAGGTCATCCGATTTTTTTTTTATTCCCCCTCCTTTTAAGCTATCTGAGATCTCTTATGCAGGTTTTATCCTCAATTGATAAAACCCTAAAAAAATGAAGTTCTGCTGGGCAGTTCTGAGACTGTCTAGGTCATCGCTCCTGCGGAAACTAATGGAATCAATGTAAGCCAACTAGAACTGGATGGGTGGACCCGGAGATATTATGATGGGGAGCCGAACTAGTAGTGTGTAGTGCGGCTTCCTAATGATATAAATAATCTTCGGCCGCCTTGGAAACTAGAGATGGGAGTTGTCCATCCCGCTACATGTTCCAATGAGGGACGGAGGTCATCTGTCAGGCTTCGCCAATACCGGTGTTCAGACTGAATGAAGTTTATCCCATCACAATTTCCCAAAATCAAAGGGGTATCAGGCGAATACAGCGCTCTTAGCAATTTGAAGTTTTATTGCATTCTCATCTCACTGTAAATTAGGGTGCTTGTGCCCCATGTCGAACGATCTTTGAGCCAGTCTCTTCAATCCCCTCCTTGATTTTACTGACATAGGCCCAGTCCGGCTGCAAGCCAATATACCATCCATACCACCGAAGGGCAGGTTGGTAAACCGCCACCAAAAGCCACGTTCGACAGGTGAATTCCCCTTCAACATCGACATGCCAAACGCAGGTCTCTATTCCTGAATCCGTTGGCCATTGACACAACCGATGCCACAATCTCGAGCACGAGTAGCTGATGAAGAGATTCTGCCACTTTCTGCGGTTCCAGTGACTAATTTCCATTCCAGTCCTACTAGCGCTCGATGGCATAGGACGCCCGTGTTGTTGTTTTGGTCGACAAACAAGCCCCAGCGGTATTTGTCCCGCAGCCCCGTGTTCGCCAGTAGGGGGGTAAAAGTCCATTACGCTCAGCCTTTGGTTGGAGGTTTCAGAGCTCTGTCTGCAAAATGAGGTGCTTTTTAGATTGATGAGCATAATGGATAGGTTGCAAGGATCGAACAAGCTTTCCGCTGGTACTATTGGCATTGGAACAAGGTGCATTGCTTGCGCAGAAGGCCGTCCTCATGTAGACTGGCGTAAACACTCGAATGCTCGATAATCGAAGCAGTTTATTATATATCTTAGAACAATTCTGCGAGAACGGTTACTCTGCAAAAATTATATCTACAGCGGTTTGGATATCAAAATCAGAGGTACTCCAATTGGTTAAGGAAAAATAGACGAGTAGTTTAAGCAGCATGCGGAGCACGCCCAAGCTGGGCTAGTGGTCTACATATAAGTACCCCTAACCTAGAGGCTCTTTTATCTCGAGACCTTTTTCAATATCTGCATCGATCCTCTCAGGACGGCCAGCTAGGTTCAACCATCGGGCTGGCTTGGACAGCTAAGGTCAGGAAGAGTATCTGCAGGGATGATTCCGCAAATTGTGCTTGGCCTTGGCAAAACTTCATTTGCGTATGGCCAGTTAAAGCTATCAAGAAATTACCAAGGCATAATCAATGAGCATCTCATTGATTGTATGTGAAGATAACTAATGATTTGATGTTGTCCAGAGATATGGAAAGCTCTCGGCTTTCGGCATGTGGGATGGGCCGAACGACGCTAACCCGGACAGGCAATAGCGACTGCACTCCTGGACTCCGCGTTCTTCTGGGCTTCAACGGCCTGCAAAAGTGTATCCCGAGGTCAATCCCGAGGTAGTTGCGGAGCGGAGCCACCAGCGGCTAAATATCAGCACAATTATAATGAATATGACTGCACCAGCTGTCTTCCCCATCCCCGGATTGAGCTCTGAGAGCGCTAACGGTTCCTCGGGACCAGGGATCTAGCGCCGTCTCTCGTCTTCTTGCCCCCGCCGCCCGCCAGGACCAGCAGCCGGCAATGATCTTTTAAAAGCGCAGCTCTCCCCACACGGGCCTACGATTTAACCAACCTGGGGACTTAAACTTACTTTCAAACAGTGAACCTGAGAATATATAGCATAATATCTGTTCACTAAGCCTTGTCCGTAGTCATGGCTACCAACTCACCCAACCCAATCCCGTTCTCAGAGCCCCCATACCTCTGCGGGTTTCCCTCCCCATATTATACCGAAGGCCATCGCAGATTCCAGAAAGCATGTCGCGCATTCCTGTGGGAGAATTTGATCTCCCATGCCTTCGAGTGGGAGCGGGAGGGCACAGTTCCAGAGCATGTTTGGCATACGTTCGCTCAACACAATATGCTGCTTCCCAACCTTGCATCCCCTCTACCGGTGGCCTGGTTAAAGAAGCTCGGTATCCATGATATTCTGGGGGTTAAAGTGGAGGATTGGGATTTATTATATACTGGGATCTACTTGGATGAGGTGGGGGTTTAATATTCTAGAAACTGTGGTTACATCTCTCCTAGAAGAACGCTGTTTACTGATTTTGAACTCTGTAGATGAACCGATCGGGATTAAGCGGGCCCCCGACTTCCCTGTGTGCCGGCATGGCATATGGCGTCCCACCGGTGATCAAATTTGGTAGCCCTGAGCTCCATGAACGGTTTCTCCCCGAACTCTTGACTTGCAAGAAGCGATCATGTATTGCAATCACAGAACCGGATGCCGGAAGCGATGTTGCCAATATTACCACCACGGCTAACAAAACGGCCGATGGAAAACACTACATCATTAACGGGACTAAGAAATGGTATGCGAGACCATGACATACCAAAAGAAATATACCGACTGCCTTGGGATAGATATTGGCTTATGAGAAGACTAACATGCACCTTATTCAGGATCACAAACGCAATCTGGGCAGACTACACCACCATGGCCGTGAGGACGGGCGGACCAGGCGCAAGCGGCCTGTCCCTCGTGATTGTCCCACTGAAAAACCAACCCGGTGTAACCATGCGCCGATTATCTGTCACCGGCCAAGCTGCCGGTGGAACTACCTTCATCGAGCTCGACGATGTCAAGGTTCCAGTCGAGAACCTCGTCGGCGAAGAAGGCTTGGGCATGAAATATATCATGACCAACTTCAACCACGAGCGTCTCACCATCGTCGTGGGTGTAGTGCGCCAGGCACGCGTGGCTCTCAGCGCTGCGTTCGAATATTGTCTCAAGCGCCAGGCATTCGGAAAGACTTTGATGGATCAGCCTGTGGTTCGACACCGGCTTGCAAAGGCTGGCGCGGAGCTGGAGAGTTTGTGGGCGTGGACTGAGCAATTCCTGTACCAGGTGAATAATATGTCTAAGGATGAAGGTGATTTCAGGCTTGGAGGCCTGACGGCACTGGCTAAGGCGAAGGCTGGTATGGTGCTTAACGAGTGCGCGCAGGTCGCAGTGCTCCTGTTCGGTGGCAATGGGTTGACGAGAACTGGACAGGGGGAGGTTGCTGAACGTAAGTTTCTTTCTCCCTTTGTTCTTATATTTTCGTTTTAGTCACGGCTTGCCGGTCTGACATTTTGCTTGCCCTTTTTAGGGATATATCGTGAGGTTCCTGGTGTCCGTATTCCTGGCGGTTCAGAGGATGTGTTGCTCGACTTGTCCGTGCGGCAGCTTGTCAAAGTTTTCAAGGCTCAGGAGCAAAAGCTCGAACGGGCGAAAATATGAGGTGTGTGAGGCAGTGTGAGAGTGCAGTGCAAGTGTATATGTTTCTGTATGCTATGCTTTAACATCATGGCCTTCCACGATGGTACAAGCTAGCTTTTGAATATGTCGGGGGAGGGGAGCATTTATTGGTGTTTGCCTGCAATTTTATTCTAGAAACGAATCGGATGTGGTATAACGTCGTACCTGTCTCTTAACCGATTCCTAATTTCCTTTTGACTTTATACCGGTATTTCCAGAAAACAAAGTCCCGTAATGGACCGTGGGATGAGCTGGAGCAGCATGGCACCTCTCACTCGTTGAGAGGCTAACATCTGAAACCCTCTTCATGCCATCCTGATGGCGGCTGGACCCAAATTCAGCGCGAGCGCGGATTATATGGATGACGGATCGCATAAGAGCATTTTGCCAAAACTTTAGCTGAACTGCGCCACAATCGTGGGCGTTTCCAAGGCCGTATCCAACCACACTTGGTCAGAAGCCATAGCTCCCTGTCCACGAAGTCCATTAGAGGAGTCCCAGCTTCAAGGCTGCGAGGGTCGCACAATGCTTTTGTAGCTATGATTCAGGATATCAAATGTGCCAGCGTTATTGGTTTTGCCAGCCATTGCTCTGGGATATCTCATCCTCCCGGACCGCAAAATCAAAGCCCAACTTCAACATTCGCTGCCCTACCAAGTGACATCCTAATCGACGCGGTTCAACTGTATGGCGGCCAGGAGCGATTGTTTCTTCGCAATCAAGCGAAAGCTTCTCTAGATAGTACCCCTCTTCCCTATCCATTCACCACTCTGGATGACAATATTCAGAATGAGTTAATTCTCGCAGGCTTCCTCTTTGCCCCTTGCTTCATTTTCATCAGAGACATTTCCTTTGGAGGCTGACTTGGGGGTATTGGATCGGCAGTACGAAGTTAGACGGGACCATCCCGACATCCATACACTTCGCACAGCAGAAAAAATGCCAAGTCATAGTTACAATCTGAGAGATCAATTGTACAAGTTCACTGATTTTCTGATATCTCTACTTTTCATAACAAGAATTGCTATACAAAATCTATCTAAAAGTAAAGTCTGCTATATTCACTCAGATTAACAAGATCAAGATATGTATAATAGCGATAATGAAAATGATAAAAATAGCAATAAATCAAGTAATAATATTAATAATATCAAATCTGTTTGTTATATAAATAGAAAAATGATATTTCTTTCAGTTATTTCAAGTCTCAATCAAATATATATAATATTGTCTATTCTTCTCATTCTCAAGTTAATCTTCATTCTATTTGAGATATACTGCTGTCAGAAAGAAGTTACTACTAGAACAGATATAATACTATCAGTCTAATATCTGCTGAGACAGTGCTGCAGTTCTGCTGATGATAAGAGAAGAGGAGTAGACAGATGAGAGAAGATGCAAAGTGAAAGAAGCTGAGCTCCAGAGTTAGGATTTTCAAGTATAATAATTGCCACCCCATGGCTGAGATTCATCAGATTAGGAGTCAAATATAACCCCTACAGAGTACATTCAGCCACGCTTCCTCCGTGGCAAATAGCCTCACTACTCTATCATAGAACTCATTTTGCTCATTACCGTGGGGGAGACACCCACTTGTAGCAGCAGGGTCTGTGATTCATGAATGTATGGATGTAAGTCCGGGCTAAAGCCGCAACTAATAAGGCTGCATCGACATCACACTGAGTGCTGCTATCTATAGACAACAGTTACTTTGTAACCGAGTTGATGATCAATATCTCTTGTCGAATGCATAGATTAATTGGTTGATATAACTAGTTACCCCTCTGTTTGCTCTTTTTTGTGTGGGATACTGTTATCACCCACTCCCTCTTAACACTCTCATCCTAGTTGCAATCTGCCTCTTCTTAGCACGGAGACATGGCAAAGAGATAACTTCAAATATGCAACAGAAGCTCGTTGGAGCAAGTGTGTCCTTGTTGATCGTTTCAGTTCTTCTACACCACTTTCATCTCTTCCCAGCCTTAATCTAGGATGTGCAGGAGAGATGTGTTCTACATGAAGAATGCCGCTGCGTTCAGTAACCTGGCAAATGGGTTTGAAGGTATACATATATTCTAGATAGTCTGTGTTTTTTGTCGTTGTTAATGTCGATGCTGCCATGGGTTTTGTACTGTACATACATTCAGAAACATGCCCGAGCGGGTCAATAATCTTGAACACCACCCTACTGGGTATGAGCTGTGGGAAACAAAAGAATCAACACCTCAAAGACCTCGGATACTCAACCCTTCCAGCAAGAGGATATTCAGTTCAATCACCGTCTCTGGCGTGCGGAGGGTATACGGCCACCACGGAAACCAACACAAAGAACAAAAGCGAAACCAATATCCTCTCCCATCCTCACAAATACTTCGGCCACAAATATCGTCCAAAGGTAGTAGTAGCCATACAATACCACCACAGCACAGCCACGATGTGAACAATTGAGAAACGCAATAAACATCTACCTCAATTATACCGAGAGACGCCCCTCCACCTTGCATTAGAAATCAAGCATACCCCTCAGCCACAGCAACAACAGCAACAACAGCTTCAAAAGCTATCCCTTAGCAAACCCAATAATAGTAATAATAATAATAATAATAATAATAATAATAATCATCATCATCATGATAAACCATCTTCGCCAATTCACCCACTGGGTCCCAGCGCCGGGTCATCTCGCCCGTCTACACCGGAAGACATTGTCATCATCTCTGTTCCGCACGGCGGGAAGTGGATTCTTGTCGCTCGATAAGGAGATACGCGGTAGTTTTCTGGGAATGGTTGTTTGCGTCGTGGTGAGCGTGATGTCGATTTAGTTTAGTGTTGAGAGGGGAAGAAGCAAGGTAGTTGCGGCTGTGGAGTGAACGGTATGTATGTGATATGGGAAGTGTAATGTAAAAATATCTAACTTTTTTTTTCTATTGTTTCTCCTTCATTGTGTATATTTCTTTCCGCATTCTAGACATGCATTTTTGCTCTTTTACAAGCGGTTCCTTTTGCATATTTGCATATATAGGTGGATTCCCCGGCGTTGCATTTCACATTGAGGTACTGCATGGTCTTTCTTTTGTGTATTACTCTTTTTTTCCTTTCTTTTCTTGTTTTTCTTTTCATTTAATCTTGCGAATGATCACCCCTGCAAATGAGAGCTACAATGCTTTCATCTTTGCACCGGATAAATGTCCTTGGTACTGTACTGTTAGATACCTGAAATTTTGCTTCCCTCCAATACTTGGGGATCGAGTACAGACGAGTCCGAGTTTTTCCCGAGTTGACTCGGACTTGGTCCGCCAAGACCCCGACTCGTCTTGATTCGGCTCGACTTGTGATGCACTCGGCTCGTCCAGAACTCGATTCGGGTTTCATCTCGTGTTGTCATGGCCCGACTTGGACTCGACTTGGTGGGTGGGTGACTCGGTCCGACTCGGACTCGTCTGCATTCTACTTGGGAAATGGATCGGTTGACATTTGCGGCCACCGCCGGAATGAATTGTGTGCCATTGTCGTCTTTTAAGGGAGGCAACTGTGCCGAAGGAGATTCTGGGATCGGGGCGAAAGGGGAATGATAAAAAAAAAGTCCGAAAGTATTATTAAACCTGCATAAGGGTAAGGAGAGAAAAGATAATTCGGGAAGGGGGTGGGAGTAGGAAAGGCGCAAAATGTGAAGAAGCATGGGCCAAGAGACACAAAACACACGAAGCAAAATTTTTCTGATTATTAACATTTCCAAGTCAAATAAATTCAGGAATCGACCAATTAGGTGTTGGTGTCCAAAGGAGAAAGCACGAAATGGAAGTGGTGTCGAGGTTGTGTTAATAGGGGCATGCAATTCTTTCCAAACACCCACACCGCCACGAGAGTTTTGGCGCCATCTTTGCCAAACAGGGTCATGAACATCCAGTTAACCATCCAATTACCGAAGCCAATCAGATAATGTCACCCCAACCTAGTATAGTCATTATTAGACTTGTAGGTCAATCGGCAGGCATTCCAACCACGACAAGTCACTTAACCCGCCATCACGCGGTCCACCTCTACACTCATCCCTTCCAGGTGTGAAAAGAATATCCAACTTCTCCAATGCTTTCAAGCACGCGTTGGCCCTGGGCCAAATGAGTGAGTACTTCCTCATCAACTCAATACTTGTCCATGCCCCTTCCCTAATCATTTGCATCCCTCCAAGGTCATCAATTACACCCCTGGGGCACCTACGGGCTGCAATAAAAACTTGTGCACACGCAAACACATATCCCGTAGTCTCCCAAATTGCCGGGATGGAGAGGGCGTCGTATTCATTTGTGATATCTGTACCGCGGCTCCTCTCGGCTTCGTCGATGATATTGATTATCTCCGCTGCGGCGAGGACACATTTTACAGCACTTTCATGCGCGATTATGTGAGTCAAGGGTCGCTGTGAGGTTGCTTCTTGCATTCTTGAGCGCGCGTCAATGTCCGGGGAGGCAGCTGCAACTATGGCCAATAGCGGGCGCCACAGGAGGAGACGCATGTGGAGGTAGCGGATGCGGAGAATTTTATGCTGACGCATTGCTAGGAGGTTCTTTATTGAGTTAACGTCTGTATTTGGGTGTAGAAAAGGTGGCAACCCTGATTGCCAGTTGGCGAGGGACTGATCGACAGCTATGAGTGGTGAGGGATCAAAAACCTCAAGTTTCTTGCGTGCGCTACAATGTTCGGTTAGTCGGAGTTCCTCTTGGATGGTGATGAGGTCACTGTATCGGTCGTAGAGGCGCGCTGAGTTGTTAAAGAATTCGATGATTGAGGGGCGGTCAATTGTCGGATTCCGGTCCGCGGGTTCATTGGTTGAGAGGTGGTCGATATAGTCATTGTCTCCTGGGACGGGGAGAGGGGTTTCAAAAGAATGTTTCGTTAGAGTTGAAATGCCCATCTTCATGGCGATAATGCTATATGAAAGAGCTTTAGCAAATTTATGTTTGAAAATGCGTAGAGAAAGTTATTTGTGTCATACCGTTCTAGCATCAGTGAGCAATGCCAAACTCGTCTTGATAATTCTTGGTTGTCCCTCAGAGCCAAGTGGTGGCTTCCAGTAACAAGATGCAGATGCAGGGACTGCGCTGCACGAATGGCTAGTCCCACAAACTTCCAGGCAACTGGTAGGTTATTGTCTGCAATAAGGTACTGGGCTAGAACTAGATAGGCCTGAATGTTTAGAATACCTCCTTTTTCTATTCCATTCAGAAATACAAGGTTTTGTGCGCGCGCGAAGTACTGTTCAGCATCCTCAAGGTGGCCTGGATTGCATAACAGGGCTGCAATGGCGAACACTCCGAAAAGAAGACCAATAAACAAACAATCCTCATGAGAAACTTCTGTTTCTGAGTCCCACAGTTCAATATTCCTCCACAGCTTCTCATACCGGTGGGTGAAAGTGTTTCGATGAAATAATGGCAAATTCACAAACTCCCGTGAAAGATAGGCAGAGACTAACTTATTGGCAACAATACGGTGAGGAAATCTAAGATTCGTCGAATTTGTTGACAATGTTGATAATTTTGTCTTCCGATTTGTAACTTTGGTTAATCGCTTTAGCTCTCGATCAGACTCAAGTGTACTTCCTGGTTTTGCGACACCAGTTCTCTGGAAAACAGCTTGCCGGACTCCCGGAAGAAAGAGGTCGGGATCATCCACTTCCGTTTCGTTGTCAGAGGAATCCGAGTATGGTTCTCTGCCATCAACTTCTTCAGATCCATCGGAATCACCAGATTCTTGACCTACAGAGGAGATATCTGGGGCTTGTGTGGCAGATGGTCCTGCAAGGGGAGATATAGGCGGTTGAAAGCCCCGTGGGCTTTCCAGGCTTTCATCACCTTGAATGAACGATCCCTCATCATCGCCCTCGTGGGACTTGTCTGTTTCAGGTGGTGTCTCAGAAATTGCTCCCAGGAGCTGGAAGCTGGGACTTTCGCGTCGGCGTAGCCGTGGCTGTACCTGTTGCTTTTGGATTCCATTAGTCTCCTTAAGAACTGTCGGGAGAGACATCCGGGGCTGTTTGGATGGGCGTTCATCTGAAGGAGATTCTGGATAAGATGCACGATGTGGTTCTGGACGCTTTCTAATTCATGTCTTAGTGCTTAAATATGCAATGACTTCACGAGAATGAATATTATTACCGTTGCAAGGATGTAGTAGAATCATATTCACAATTTGCCTCGAGACCTCGTTTTCGGCACGGTCCACATACTGTTTGAATCAGTAATCATATCGAGCAAGCTTCCCCGAATAAGGAAATTTTCTTTTCTTTTCTTTTCTTTTCTTTTTTTTTTTATTCTTTTTTCCCCCCCCCGAAATACATGATGATTCGAAATACATGATGATTTATATCCGGATAGGCTAGGTGGCCAGGCCTGTAATTTACCAGAAAACAAAGGCAAAAAGCTTACCAGGTGTTTCTCCGGAGCATTTCCTTTTCGCAGCTCTACATACGAGACAGGCGCTGAAAGCTCTTTTTTTAGAGGCCAGCTGGCGAACATTGGGTTTCGCAGCGGGTGCAGAAAATTGGGGGTATTGGCATGTTCGATCCTTCTGCAAACATGTACTGCAAACTTCACCAGCAATAATATAGAACAGAATGTCAGCATTCGACGACTTGGTCCCAATTAAAGTTCTATTCAATGGTCGGAGAGGTATTTCTCACCTGGCAGGGCCCCATCACAGCGGATATGTTTTAATTGGCAGTTTAAGCATCTCCAGACACGGGGCTTGACCTGGGAAGAATCGTCCGGCGTCCCACTTTCCATCGTCAAAATGGTTGAGCCTTCCTCCATTTAGGCGGCCCACGCGTCGCGTTAGAAATGGAAGCTCCCTGGATGCTTGGCATAGGCTCGATGAGCACGACGTAGATTGTTCACACTGTACGAAAATTAAGGCATCAACGTTATACTCGGTGTTCAAGCAAAGTATCGGATGGGAAGTGTTCAAGCGATGTTGTGTTGGTTGAGGTGACAACAATTTTGATGCGAAGTCATTTGCACGCAATAGCACGGGCAACAGAAGGGGCCGAACACCGGGTGTATGGTTTTGTACCATATGTATCTTTACACGTACTAAACACAACCACCAGTGCTTTTTATGTGTATATTATTCACGCTATTACCGAACATATTTACAGATATACGGTACGAACCATACAGTCCAACGCCGGCCCGTAGAAATGATTCCGAATGGACCAATCTTCCATTAATGGGAAAGTGGCAAAGATTGTATATATTTACTACATATTCCAGTATAAGCTATGAGCATATGAATCTTGAAAAAATACCAACTCTCTAAAGAGATGGTCAAAATTACATGCGGTCAATTTAAGCTTATTTTTTACTGTATTTTAGCTAATTGAACTCCTGTGCACAGACATTCAGCTTTTGCTAAAATCTAATAACAAATTCACTATAACTTATTAATCTATTATTAAAGAAAATAATATTATTAAACTGCTCAGCTCTCTCTGAATAATTATCTGTAAATAGATATATTTTCAAAGTCAGGTTTTCATAAGAGTTCATCTTGATTGATTTATAAAAGAGAGATATAGTCTATAGATGAGTTAATAAACTATTAAAACTAAAGTCTGTTAAAAGTAAGATAGAGTTACAGAACTAAGTTAACAAATTATGTAAGTAAATTAACAGACTGAATAAATGAATTGATAGACTGTATAAATGAGTTAATAAGCTGTACAGACTACTGAAGTAGTTAAAATAATATAAGCTACTGAATTTTCAGAGTCTGTAAATGTAAGAAATCCTGCTTCTCACGAATTCTTTACCTCTATTCCTATCTCTTGTGTAATCAATAGGGCTAGCGGCCCTTGACTACACATAACTATATAGACTGAAGTTCACAAATACTATTCATAACTCAGCTTGAATACTATTATATATTTAATCTCTATATTTATCTTTCTACTGTGAATACTTCTAGTAGTTAACAGTACATATCATATCAAGCTGCAAACACCTGAATAATTGTCTGTAAGCACTTATTCTTACATTTCAAGCTCAGTCAGTCAGCAACTGTCTATTATAACTAAAAGAACTAGAAACTCATATACTTTAATCTCTATAAACTCTACTGCAGACACTCAGAAACAGTCATCTGAATTATAAATAACTCTTATAGAAGAAGTCTCAGAGAACTTATCAATCACTTATAAGATATCATTCTCTGCATCTCAGACAGAGAAACTCTCTGAACTCATGAATAAATCAATCTCAGTGAAGAACATTCTTGAGCATCTTCTATGAGATTAAGCTATTTTTCTATAAGAAATGCTTACTATCTGTAAACACTCTTGAACTGAGTCTCTAGACATGATCTTCAGAGACATCTATGAACTGAAAAGAAACTTTCTCAAGTTATAATTACTTAAGATCATCTATTGAATCACAATCTATAAAAGCTTTTACAAGTTTGTATTTAAAATTGACTTACAAGCTCAGCTGTGTGACATAGAAGATGAAGAAGCTGTTATCTATATAATGACAGACCTCTATTACACTGAAGTCAAGAACTGGCTGAATTATTTAGAGAATAATTATAAGAGATTCTGATAATCTGTTCTTAAGATCTATTTAGAGAATAAGTTAAGAGACTCTACAAGCTGAACAGAGAACATCTGAGCTGTAATTATCAATATTAGAAAATGAGATGAGAAATCTGATAAAGATTACTCACAGTGCTTTATGAAATTATAATATAAATTAAGATCTGTGAAAACAGAGCTCTGAAACAAGACCTGAATAATAATATTTATAAAGAGACTGAATAAAGACATGCAGAATAAGCTTATTAAGTAAGACTCTAAGTTCTTGACTCTGAAGAAACTGATAACTCTCATTCATTACTTACAGATCACTGTGAGAGTCATAGATCTATAAAGAGTGAATTATCAACTGACTCTGTAAGAGTCAGAACAACAGAGAACAGATTTATTAGAAAAAGATAATAAGATACAGAGAGATTCATATCTGACTGCTGAGTAGAGAGAGAGAGCTTTATAAGCTTCTATGAACAGAGTGTATAATAGAGAGATTAAGAAAAAGAAACTCTGTTTTATCTGTTTTAAATCAGAACATCTCTACACAAACTGTTCAGATAAATTAAAATAGAAATTTGAGAAGTCACAGACAGAGTCAGTAACAGCCTTCTTAAGAGTCTTAAAGTTAACACCTGAATCTGTTACTTCTTTAATAAAAATACTTACTTATGAGAAGAGACTGCACTGCAGTACTGCTGCTTCACAAGTATGAAAAGCATTGATAAACTCAGGATCTCAGATCACTGTAATGTCTCTAAAGCTCACAGAGTGAATGAGCTGAAAGATGAAGACTGAGAACCTGCTCTTATAATAAGCAGAGTATGAGAACTCAGATCTGAGAACTGAGAGACTTATAAAAGTTATCTTTGAATTACAAGATCTCTCTGAAATCTGAAGAAGATTTACAGAAACTGTGATTATCACAGATATTATAGATAACATGTATTTAAGACTTGCATGACTTCAAAGACACAATTCATATATAGCTATCTATGAGTCAGGTTTATACTTCTGATCAGAGTTAACAGACTTACTCACAGAGATAGAAGCAGTTAATACTGCAGAGTTAATTAGAGAAGACAAGCTTATCTATATAATGACTTTGTAAGTGTCTGAGAATCTCACAGTCATAGAAACTGAGCTTCAGATATTAGAGAAATACTGAGATCTCACAGAGATGTTTAGCTCAGCTAAGACAGCTGAGCTTTCTTCTTATTATGAGAAGAATCTGATAATAGATTTAATAGAAGAGTAGAAACTCTTCTGAGAATCAATCTATAAACTCTCTCATCATGAGATAGAGATCTTGTAAACCTATGTGAAGAAGAATCTGAAGAATGACTTTATCTGATCTTTACAGACCTCTGTGAGAGTCTCTGTAATATTCATAAAGAAGAAGAATGAAGATCTTAGATTATGTGTAGATTATTATAACCTGAACTTCAAGATAATAAAGAGCTGCTATTCTCTATCTCTGATTAAGAATGTGATTAACTGTCTTATAAGAGCTATTATATTCATATAACTGAATGTGATTAATGTATATATATAACTATGAATACAGTCTGAGAATGAATAAAAGACTGTCTTTAAAACTATACTAAAACTGTTTAAATATCTAGTGATATCTTTTAGTCTGACTAATGTTCTCACAGTATTTCAGTCTTTTATCAATAAAACACTTCATATATATCTGAATGTCTTCATAATAATATATCTGAATAATGTGATAGTGTACTCTATGAAAAAGAAAGAACACACTGAGTATATATAAAGTGTGTTAAAGATCTTAGATGAGACAGAACTGTATATTAAGCTCACAAAGTGCAACTTCAGTGTCTACTGAATTAATTTCCTAGAATATATAATCACTGCAGATGATATTCAGATGAAATCTTCACAGATTGAGACTATTTTATCATAACTGAAGCTAACTAGTATTCATAAGATTCAGATCTTTCTGAGCTTTGTGAATTTCTATAGATGATTTATCTTTATATTCATAAGAATCTTCTTGATTCTTACAGACATGCTGAAGAATGAAAATAAGAAGAAGTCATTCTGTGAATAAAGAATAAAAAGATTGTTAAGAAGAGAGAATTATAAGAACTTTCTTATCTCAGAAGCTCACAGAGTCTTTACAAGATTAAAATAGATATTTATAAATACAGTGATGCTGTTTCACTTTAATCTCTTACTCTTAATCAGATTGAAGACAGATGTCTTCTTCTTTATAATTTCAGAAATAGTCTTATAACTACAGTTAAATGAGAACTGAGTTTCAGTGGTCTTTTTCTCATGAAAGATACAACTCACAGAGATTAACTATAGTATTTATAATCAGAAGCTTCTTATAATAGTGAAATTCTTCTACTACTAATATTACTACTTCAAGAGCCTTGCAACAGTGATTACTATTAAAACTGATTATAACAGCTTATAACAGTTTACTTCAATTAAGAAACTCTCATAATAGTAGATTTACTGAGCTCAGAGACTAAGTGAGTTCTGATTCAAGATAGAATATATTAAGAGAACTAAGAACTCAGCAGATGAACTCTCTCACAGGCCAGACTATATTAAGAAGATCAGAGTGACAGATACAGAGAAACTAGAGAAGACAGAAAAGCTTTACAGAATGCTTGAACTGAGTGTTATAAAGAGATTGACTGAAGAGTCTCTCAATTCTCTGTAAGAGAAGAGAAAAGAGAGAGAGAAGAAGTCTGTACAACTACTCTCTATAACACTGAGAGTTAATACTCTGAAGATCTCTGTGAGAATTCTTGAAGAGAGTATCTATAATCTGAAGAGTTTGCAGGCTTTGAGAAGCACTATGAAAGATCTGATGTAAGAGAAAACAGAGTATAAGTCTTTATAAGATCTTCTATTCAGATTGTCTGAACTGCAACTGAAGAATGAATATACTTAATATATTCAGAAACTGCTTACAGCAGAGATCAATTCTGCAGAAACAAAGAGTTGAAGAGACTTAAATAATCTCTTATAAAGAGAGAACTGAATTTATATGTCTGTGAATAAGTTTCTATATATAGAACTTATTAAAAGGTATCATGACTCTTCTCTAGCAGGTTATTTTACAGACACTAGAACTCATGAGTTACTTATAAGAAAATACTTCTGATCAAAGATATGAGAACTTATGAAGAAGATAGTGAATTCTTATACTATTTATCAGAGTTTGTAGATAGTGCAGTTCAGATTATATGAAGAACTTACTTCTCTATTCATTCTGCAGAAACTTTAAAAACAGCTAGAAATGAATACTCTTATAAGTCTCTCTGAAAGCAAGAACATATATGATGCCTGCTTTGACAGTGTGCTGATGATAGTGAATCACTTTATCAAGATAACACACTTTATACTCACCTGTAAGAACTTGAAGTCAAAGAATTTAACTCACATCTTCATCTGTGATATAATCTGATTACATGAGTTATCTGTGAACATTGTCTCAGACAGAGAATTAATTTTCATAGAAG